AAAGTTTCCCTGTTTCTTGGTGGATCCTGCCATTCCTTGCCTTAACAAGACCTTCACGGCTCCCTTGGAGGGTAATCCAATATTCAAGGACTTGGTAGACAAAATGTATAGTGCTTCTATGGCAGTCTGTCATACCATTGCTGTCTAGATTAAACACATGGCCTAAAATTATAGTTTCATCCTAGCGGATGCCCCTGTTCGCAGTCAATTAGACCTTTTGCCTACAGCTTTGTGCTACCTCGTGAACAGCTTGGCAGACCCGTTGTGTCAGATCTCCAGGATGAGCCTTTTCTCCAGCCATATGGGTCATTTGAAGGCAAATGCCTGTTTGGTTCCTCCTTGGATATGTACATCAAGGGGGTTACAGGGGGTGAGCGTATTCTCCTGCCACGAGCAAAGGAAGACTTGCATCTCTACCAGTAGGACTTCTACTCGTGAGGTTAGAAGAGGTTCCTTTCATCCCTCTCAGTCTTTTATTGCCTGGTTTAAGACAGGAAAGTACTTGCTAAAGAAGACATGGCCCTACAAACCACCAAGACTGGTTCCAGTTCTTCTTCCAAGGGATGAGACGTCCCCACTTCTAAAAGTCTGTTGGTTTTCTGGTCTGAGAGAATTTGATGCTTGGGTATAGTATAATTTCGGGGGGCTTCAAACTAGAGTTTCACACTCTGTCTCCTCCTTGCTTTGTGCTTTTGAACTTGACACGGTGGGTGGACCTGCTTGCTGCTGTCTGGCAGCCTTTGTATCCAGGGGTTATTACCCCTGTACCAACAGAAGAACACTTTCAAGGTTTCCACACAAAACTCTTTACTTTCAATATTTTTGTTTTATTAAGAATTTAACAAATTACAAAGAATTGCCATTAACAATCACAGTAATGAGATACACAGGGTAACAAAAAAACCAGGAACAAACCTGAACGCAGAGGAGTACATGTACTCCACAAATGGCTAGTTAGACTATGAGCCACAGGAAAGGCTAAGGAAACATGGACTACATCACCAAAGCAGCTCATAGAATTCTCCTCAAGAGATCTGCTTACTAGACACCATGCGTGACCACATCAAGCACTCCACTCACTCAGAAACCAACCATCAGAGAAGAGAGAGAAAAAAGGAGGGGGAAAGAGAAGAGAAAGGGGAGAGCGAGTCACAGGTAGTAAAGAATGTCAGGAGTAGACGATCAGATTACAAACAATCTCTGACCACAATAATCAGTTATAAAGTAACATGCATAAAATCAGCCCAGGGTTCCCAAATACTTTCAAATCTAGCAACAGTATCATGAAGCATAGGAACAGTGTTCTCCTGAATCATAATCCAAGTGATTTTCTTCTTCACTTGGGCTACCGAAGCTGTGGGTAGCTTCCATGCCCTAGCAATGCAAACCTCTCTTTTTAAGGTTCCCAAACTAAATGGAGACGTCCCCCACATTCTGGAACTGAAGACTCTCCACTTGTTCCTACAAGTTTGAAAGTTCTGCGTGGAAACTGCCAGGTCAGTCATTGCCTCCCTCCTTCCAGGGGACTTTCTGGCTTCAGTAGACCTTTTTAGAATGCTTATCTGCACATCCTCAACTTTTTACTTTATCTGCATTTTGCAGACCGTTAGCATTCCAGTTTGCTGCCCTTCCCTTTGGCCTGTCCACAGGTACCCATGTTTTCATTAAGGTGCTTGCCTCTTGGATCATACGATAAATACCAGCATATCGGGCTGGAGAGCAGTCCTGGATGTCTTCCCGTTGGCCTGTCCACAGGTACCCAGGTTGTCACCAAGGTGCTTGCCTCTTGGATCATACGATAAATACCAGCATATCGAGCTGGGGAGCAGTCCTGGATGTCTTCTCTGTGCAGGGTACTTGGTTGCTGGAGGAAGCCTGCTATGCATTCCTGTGACCCATTAGTACCTAATTTGGTTATCTCAGCTCTTCAGAAACCACCTCTTGAACCTATTGGGGATATTCCCTTGTTTGATCTATTTTGTAAGGTGGCCTTGTTAACAGCACCTTTGTGTTGACAGGTCTTTGTGTCATCCTTAGGATAACTCTGAGGGTATCCTATCTGGCCTAAAGCCTCCTGAAGGTCACCCCTTCTTTCCACCTTGACCCGGACATTGCCCTTCCTTATGTTCTGCTCCAAAACATCCAAAGGAAATCTCTCTACTCTCTTGCTGTGATGCATGCTATGGGAGTTTACCTCTCTGCTACTGCTATTGGATTCCCCCTTTGTGCTTCGTTGAGGTCTCCTATAGGGGTCCTCCTTGCTTCCCCCTCCACCATTGCTACATGGAACAGGCAAAGTATCATTACAGCCTATGGTTTGGAGATAGAGTTCCTAAGGTGCTACAAACTTCTCTTTAAGGATCTTGAGACTTTCTTGACCTGTTTGTTACTTGGGCAGGCCTGTTTGATGTTTGTTGTGTTGCCTCCCCTCATTTGTACTGCTTTGGATGTCCCAGTAATGATTAAAGAGCCTGTGTTCCGTACTGTACAATTAAAGGTTCTTTTTTTTTTTCGTTAATTAAAATAGCAAACCTGTTATACTTGCCTGCTCTGTGCAGTGGTTTTTCACAGAGCAGCCTCAATCCTCCTTTTTGCAGGTCCCCTTCTGGCGTTCTTGGCTCCTCCCCCTGCCGAGTGCCCTCATAGGAAGCCGCTTCCTATGAGGGCACTCATGCAGGCTTTCTCCTGAGCTGGCCTGTTTGCATTTATTCAGACACAACCCAGCTCAGCCTTACCGAATCCCCCCCACGGCTCCCTGCTTACAGGTTTTGACTGACAGCGGCAGGAGTTAATGGCTCCCACTGCTTTGGACTGAGCTCAGGTTCAGGTGGGTATCTAGGGGGCGCTGTGGGGGTTCTGCACTTAAAGTATTCTATGCATTAGGGTATAAAACCTTTTAGCTGCTTCAAATCCGAACACTTTCACCCCCTTCCTGCCCCGGCCAATTTTCAGCTTTCAGCGCTGTCACACCTTGAATGACAATTGTGCGGTCATGCAACACTGTACCCAAATGAAATTTTTAGCATTTTTTTTGAGACAGATAAATCTTTCTTTTGGTGGTATTTATTCACCACTGGAATTTATTTTTTTTTTGCTTTATAAGAGAAAAAAGACCAAAAATTATGAAAAAAAGAAGTTTTTCTTATAAAATTTAGCAAATAATCTTTCTTCATAAATCTTGTCCAAAATGTATTCAGCTATCTTTTTGGTAAAAAACAAAAAAAACAAATCTGTTTATAAAATTTTTTATAATTTTTAAATTTTTATAAATTTTTTAAATATTTTTTTTTACATACTGTCACCCTAGCAGTACAGTGACACTACTACTTGTGGGGTGATGAAATGTTTTCTTTTTTTATACAGATTGCTTTTACACCCATAAAGGCTGTAAAAGCAATTATTTCTCCTTCTCTTTGCATGAGAAATACTGTGAGAGCTGTGATTGGTCACAGGGCTGTTGTGAATGGCCTTGTACCATGTGACCTCTGTGATCATTCACAGAATTCACAAATCCTAAACAATGATGTCAGGAAGTGGCATCTTGTTTACTACTGTTCATGCGATCGCTTGAATCGGGACCTCACACTGCGGTCCCTTGCAGAGATCTGTGTTCCGCTGTATGGTGTTCCGGTGGACACAGCAGGCACAGATTGCGGCACTGCGCAATTCCATTAGAAACGCCCCCCCCCCCCCCCCCCCCCCCCCCGCATCGGCAATGCTCCCATCCGGCTGTTTATCGGCATGGGCCGGACGGGAAGAGGTTAAGGTGAAAAGAAAAATTTTTTTTTTTTTTTTTTTACTTTTACAGCCACTTTAGGAAAACTGCATTTTTGACTTGCCAGTAAAATTCATTAGAGTGCAGGACACAAGTCCCTCTTCTCTGTTCCTATGATCTCCCCGTTGCAGGAGTCCACTGTTGGTAAGTCAAATGGTGGGTGACATCACTGCTGTATGACAGGATTTGAACTTGGCGATTGTCTGTTCAGGCCAAGCACCACCACATGCGGAGGTCAGTTGCTTTGCCATGTAAGTACTACAGAGGTTTGATGGACGTGGCGGGGATGAGGGAGTGCAGATGGGTGCATTAACCTTGAGTTGGAGGACTATTGGGAGGTCCTTTCACAGTGCTCTGAATTTGCAACATGACAGTGTCTCTATAAAGCACTTTACTATTTAGTATGTGTATGGTGCAGAAATAAAACCTATTCACTGACTTCTTTCTTTCTTTTTTTTCCCTTCAGTTGTCTTCAGGAGAGGATATGGAAATTTCGGATGAAGAAATGGCCATTGAGATGCCTGGAACTGCTGGTCCACCTTACCCACTTCTGCCCCATCTAGCGGGACCTGCAGGAGGTTACCCATCACAACACCTTCCTTCAACTCTTCTACAGTTACCCCCCCACCCGCACCACCAAGTCCCCAATTCCTATCCGCTCCTGCCCAACACTGCTGCCAGAGGAAGGCTGGGGGATCTCGGAGGCCATCCGCCCACTCCTCCACCCCTCGACCCTTCATCATCCTCGGCCACGGCAGCTCCTCATATATATGACTTTGTGAACTCCATGGAGCTGGTGAACAGACTCGGTAACCAGTGGGGCGGAACTTCCATGTCCTTCCAAATGCAGACTCAAATGCTGAGCCGCCTGCAGCAGAGCAGGCAAGGAAAAGGACAGCCGTACGAGGAACCCTATATTCCGCCATTAATTCCCCACCCGCTGCCTCATAGACATCGACAGCAACACCCTCCACCGCTCATGGCCGAGCAGGTCTTTGGAGGGGTTTACCCCCTTTTTCCTACTCAACAACACCAACCTTTGTTACCACTACAGGACATCATACCTACCAGGAACAACCGAGCGCTGGGACAGGAACCCCGGCCTCTGAGCTGGGGCATGGAGAGTGGTGTGGACCCGCACGCTACTACCATCGCAAGTGTGTTGTCTGCTCTTATGCAGGAGATGAAGAGCACTATGCAGAGAGACTTGAACAGAAAAATGGTGGAAAACGTCGCCTTCCGAGCCTTCGATGAGTGGTGGGAGCGCAAGGAGGAGAAGGCAAAAGTAAGTGAAGAGTTTATTTACGCAGCTCTGAAATATTCCTTGCCACATTTCCATGGACTTGAAAAACAGCGCACATCATATTTGAAGCAAATGCCCTTTGACATTGGCCCTAAGTTGGTCATACGCATGAAGTGTTCTTTATTTCAGTCTTTGGGCTGATCAAGAGATTTAACAGGTTCCCCCTACCGTTCATGCTTGTCCCTTTAAATATTTCTGCATGAACTGACGTGATCGGGTCTCAAAAGCTGTGTATGAAAGATCAGATTATTGGATGAACGGTTCGAAAACATTTTTTTCTCCCATCCGATTTTTTTTTTTCCACTGTATTTTGCTACACCCACGCTTCCAACACAAAGAGCTGGGTGTCACTGAGATCCGCGGGTCCTGTTCTATCAGGACCCAGAACTGCTGATCCCGGGTCGCCTGATTACTGTGATGGCCTTGATTGGCTATCACGGTAATCAGTCACTGTGAAGCCCGCCCCTTTTTGTTTTCTCTTTGAATGGAGGAGAGAGATACACTGTATCTCTCTCTGTTCTTTCATAGAGAAAAAAGTGTTTATACTAAATTAAAAATAATAATAAAAAAAACAAAAATACTTAGATGAAGGTTTGCTTTAGGTCTGTGCCAGGGTCAGTGTTTTGGGTCAAGGTCAGGGGCTTTTTTTTTTTTTTTTTTTTTTTTTTTTTTTTTAAATATCAGTATCAGTTAAGGGCAGGATTATAAAAAAAAAAAGCAAGTTGTGCACCATTGTTTCTGGGCTGTATTACGGATACAAACAACAACTAACATACACACATGTAGTAACACTGCGATCATCAGGAGCAGGAGAAATTAATTTGGGTTGTTGTTTGATGGTACGTTATGGTAGTAGTAAGAAATATACAGCTAAATAAAAAAAAAATTATTTATTTTTTTGTTTTGTTTATTTTTTTACCAATTTGGGCCAGTTTTCTTTGGTAATAAAAAAAACAAACAAACTGGAGATATCCATTACCACTTGCCACCAAATGAAAGCCCAATTTGTGCTGAAAAAAAACGCCTGGTATTCCACCTGGATGTACAAAGTAGTTGTGGTGATCTGTACGGTTTTGCTAACAAATGTTAAAGTTGCAAAATTGTGCTTAGGCATTTAGATTTGTTTTACCCTTAGACACAAAGGGGTTAAAGTGTATATCTACTCTTGCAGTCAAATATGAGAAAACCTCACTATGTGTTCAGCACAGCAAAAAAAAAAATATAGATATATAGGCAAACACAGCTGCCCACCCTCCTAAACAATAGGAACTGATAGGATTTTGCAGTACTGGAATTTCAAGGACATCTCATTTTTTTCTGATAACAGGTGACAAATATAAAGTAAATATGGCTGCAAAAGTGGAGATGCACTTTAAAGAGTTGGTTTAACACACCTACTTTCCTTACCTCGTAAATGAAATATTTCAAGTAAACAAGACCTGTAGATGAGATGGGGAAAACAAATGTTCTGAGTAGAATTTTCCTTGGTGATTGTGTGTGTGTCTCTTTCTAGCCATTTCAGAGTGTGCCCAAGCCTGCTCCCCGGGAAGAAGACAAGGAAAAGACCCGTCCCAAAGAGCCCGGCCTGCTCTCATTGGTGGATTGGGCCAAGAGCGGAGGCGCTGAAGGTTTTGGATTTGGCACTGGATTGCGGGAGGCTCTGAGGCTTCCATCATTCAAGGTGAATTCACAGACTTTAATATGGACAATCATACTGTGCAAATTTCCCTATATTTTATAAAGGTTCTTAGGAGAGAGCTGTTATTTATGCATATAGCCACCATTCAGGTGATGTCTTTCACTTTTCTGATCCATTATGGGGGGGAATCTGCTTGCTGTGGTCAACTAGAACTTGCATCCCTGACAGTTTTCATCCTCCTGTTTGGTATGTTTGGGCTCACATTTTGTGATTCTCCTTACTGCACACAGGTCAAGAGGAAGCAGCCAGCGGAGGATGACGACGACGGCGAACAGAAGAGGCCACGGCCATCCACCCCAGCAGAAGAGGAGGATGACGGTGAGTAGACACATTCCAAGATTTCGTCCCTTCCTGGCCTCGTCCCTTCCTGGCCTCGTCCCTTCCTGGCCTCGTCCCTTCCTCGCCTCGTCCCTTCCTGGCCTCGTCCCTTCCTCGTCCCGTCCCTTCCTCGTCCCTTCCTCGCCTCGCCCCTTCCTCGCCCCGCCCCTTCCTCGCCTCGTCCCTTCCTTTCACTTTCTGACCAACACATTTTTCATCCAGGAGAGCGAGAGAAGGAGACCCAATCCGAACCACGACCAGGAGTAAAACCTCCACAGAGGGAGGGTGCACGAGCAAAACACAAACGCAGGAGTCCGTTCCATTTGGACAGCGAGGGTGAAGAAGCCTCTGAGGAATCTGCATCTGATAAGGTGAGAGAAACAAATGGCCACGTAGAATACAAAGCTTCCCGTGGATAGCTGAGCAGTGCTCTGCCCTACTTTTTGTTCTGGAAGTGAGGCGGGCAGTTCCCATCCCACTGCTGGAACACAGCGCTGTATACTACTTGTAGCTGAGGTGTATACACCACGTCCCCAGCGAGCACACCTGTTAGTTCAGTAAATCGTTTGCTTGGGCTAGCTTGGAGTTAGCATTTAATGCTGATATCTGGATGTACAAACAAAACAATTAATAGTCCTCATGGGAAAAAATGAAAGCATACCCCTGGCCATGACCTTTTCAGAAGGCCCGGGATTCCAGCAACATTTGGAGAATTACCGTTTTCTAAACTAATTATCTTGGAGATTTTTCAGAGAAGTTAATGTCCTCTTTCAGTTTCAAATGATGATCTTAATTTTCATCCACTATTTTTTTATCCTCCCAGGATGAAGATGATGATGATGATGATATCAGCACCAAGGATGAAGATTCTGACGGTGAGGGCAGACTTTTAGGTGGTACAGTATAAAAAATTACTTTATACTAGTAATATATTGTAATTTAACACTCAATCTCACGTAAATTGCTAACTACAAAAAACACCAGTTTTACGTATAATATGTTCCTCCCCTCCTTTTCCCTCCCCCACCCCAACCCTGTTTTATACTGTAAGGTTGGCATTTGACTGGTTCTCTGTGGTAAAGTGACTTTTTTTTTTTTTCTTTAGTATGGGACCAGTAGCATTCTTAATAATGAGATTTACATGGACAAAGATCTGTATTTCTTTCCATGCAGTCCTGAGGTTTACACAGTTGTGCCACACAGCACAGACTTGTTTTGGTAGGGCAGTACGGTAACACTAACAGGTCTTGGCCCTCCCCTGTGACTGGATAGAGACAGGAGAAGCAGCAGTCTGATGCGTTCATCTTTTCTACTCTGTACTCTGCTGTCTCCTCCCATCAGCATGTCCCTTGTAAGCACACGATCAATGTAGCATAACTGGCTGGCTCATTGTGCTACTTCTCCCTCCCCTAGTCTGAGCTCTGCTGTGCAAGGACTACACAGAGGATCATGCCAGATCTAATTCAAGCAGATACACAGAACTGTGTTTAGTTGTATCTTGCCAAAAGTTCACCTAACTTGGCAATATAGATGTTTGAAAAAAGAATAAATGGTACCCAAAGTCTTTTTGCTCCTGGTGAAAGATATCTGCAGTTTATGGGATGTACAGTAGGTAACAATAAAGAAGAAACAAAAGATTTGGTAAAAATAAAAAAAATCTCTAGATAGGCGTTTGATTTGTCTGTAGCATTGCCTTGTGGTTTATGACTTGTATGAATGTATCTCATTCTGTACTTTTTTCCATCTTTGTTCAGAGGAGACCCCACTGGCCAAGCTTTCCAACAAGATTGTATCAGATGATAGCGACAGCTCCAGCGATGAGGACAGCAGTTCGTCGTCGTCCTCCTCTTCATCCTCTTCTTCATCATCGTCCTCTTCATCCCCTGCCTCCTCTGATGATGAGGAAGATCTGGAGGATGAGACCCTAGAGGATCGCACAATTCCCGAACCTTTCAGACCTCCCAGCCCACCGGAACCTCCTCCAGAACAAGAACCTGTGTCGGAGAAAGAGGAGAGCCTGGGTAAGTGTTCAGATCATTTTACATCCTATTTATGGAGCTTCACAGCTCACCCGAAGTATCCTGAAAAACGCACAACCAATTAGATGTTTCTAAACCAAACCGCACAACTGCATCCAAGGCATTCGCTTTTCTGTGTAGCAGTGTGACCGCATAGAATCTTTGAGGTCGCTCCTGAACCACAGCTGCTTTACTCCTTCTGGGGGGCTACTTAACCCCCCCCCATTCCTGTTCCCAAGATAATGTTGGGGAATTTTTGGTCAATACAAAACCTTATGAACATTGTTTTTACTGCTCTTTGATCAAGGCGTTTGACGGTTTTATTCAGAAATAACCAATTATATCGCTGCATTATACCTCACGTTTTGTAACTGCCGTATTTTGATACTTCGCTTCAATGCGATGTGGGGAAACCGCATGTTGCACAGGAATCGCAACGCATTCGTATTCAAATCATAAAAAACTAAAAACACACATGCGACACCAGCTTTCTGGTGTGTTTTTTGGGTGCCTATTGTCACACCCAGCATGCACCTGTGCAACTTTGGCATTTGACTTAAATAATGCACCAGAAACGCAGGCGCATTTTTTTTTTTTTTTTTTTCCTCTGTAAATGCTTTTTTGATGTGTTTTCCATTCATTTCCACACAGAGATGCACAATTGATGCAGTTTTTTTTTAACATGCACCAATAATGCCTCAAGCAGGACTTTTAACCTCCCTGGTGGTCTGATTATGTCAATATTTTTGAATGTCAAAGCAGTACATTGTTTTGCATGGAAATTTCAGTGTCTGACGAATTTCCCCAAGAATCACTATCGCTCAATTCTGCAAGTGATTCTAATTTACTATTGCTGTTTCTAGCTGGTTTAAAACCGCTTTTGACCTAAAGGGATGCTTTTTGGACGCTGCACAGCGCTGTTGCTGGTTTATAATCATGGATGTTTTCAAGTTTCCAGGCAGAAAGAACGGTAACAGTGCAGGCAGGGCGCCGGACAAAACTGAAGGGAAATGGTTTGATACAGTAATGTAATCCTAACAGATTACAATGTATTTGTGTGTGTGTGTGTGTCATATTTTAACTTTTTTGAATTTCCCGCCGGTTCCGCCCCCCCCCCCCCGCATCGCCTTGATTGCAGGGAAGGGAACTCGGGAGACAGATGCCGGCATTGGCCGGAGCACACAGCGGGAGGACATCGGGGTATTACAGGAACAAGGTAAGTTACACTACAGTGTAATCCCGAGTGTGGCTCGGGGTTACCGCTTTTGTTACTGAAAATTAACCCCGAGCTACAATCTGGATTACCACTAGGGAGGTTAAAACGCAACTGACTGGTGTGAAGAGTTCCATAGGATTTAAAGGGATGCATTTATCATGCATTTTTCTTCTGCTTTTTTTTTTAACTGCAAAACTGATCAAAAAATGATCAATGTGAAAGGGCAGTAAAGCGGAGCTAAACTTCAATCATCAATCCTCTCCTTCAATGGTCCCCCTCGCCAGTGCTGGCATCTTCTTCTGCGCTGTCTTCATATGCCAGTGTGTGATGATGTCACTCCTGCACATGTGCAGGAGTCGGTCATCCCGACACAGATTTTGCAAACAATGTGCAGTTTACATGATAGAGAACACTGTGAGCAGGCAGGGAGGTGTATTTCATTGCACATATGATGCTGATCTCCAATGATTGAAAGAAGCGAAATCTAGTAAATGAAAGGGGCGAGCAAGGTACAATCAGGCTGAGAAGGAACTAGCTAGAGCAGGGTTCTCCAAACCTTTCAAACAAAGGGCCAGTATTCTGTCCTTCAGATTTTAGGAGGGCCGGATTAGGACCAGTGAGGATAGAAAATGTGCTGGTCCCAGCATCAGTGAGAATAAACATGGCCTTAGGGTTGTTGGTTAGTAGGAGGAGTAGTAGTGCCCCACCATTCATATTAGTGAGAAGAAATATTATACCATCATTGGTTTCATCGGAAGAAGTACTTGCCCCATTGTTGGTCTCAGTGGGAGGATAGTGCCCCAAGGGCCGGTTAAAGGGTAGCAAAGGGCCATATTCGGGCCCTTGGGCTGCAGTTTGGAAACCCCTGTGCTAAAGGATGCCAGGAAATGAGGCGGGCTGTATCTGACTTGCTGTAGCTTCTAGTGCACATTATGAGCAGCTTACAGTGTGCAGTGAATTCAGAGTAAGCAATTTCAATACAGGATAGGAGCCGGTACAACTAAACGAATGGGGAAGGCTGGGGGTCAGATTTAGGCTAGGCTTCACGCTACTGTGGCTTTGCGGTGTCACGTTTTTGCAGGCATGGCAGCCCATTCATTTTAATGGACTGCTGTGCCTGCATTTCATGCAGGAAAATGGTTCTTACAGCATTTTTCGCACAGTGCAATTTCTGTACGGTTCCTGCACCCATTGGCTTCTGCTGCTGTCAATCACAGCCAGTGAGCCAATGAGGGGGGGAGAGGGGGCAGAGCCGAGCTGCGGTTCTGTGTGTAAATGGACACACAGGGCAGAGGCTCAGGAGCGAGCCTGCTTGGGTGCTGCCATAGCAAGCTGTTTGCTCTGCGAGCACTTGGCAGGAGGTAGGGGTCAGGAGCACCGGTGGGGGACCCAAGAAGGAGGAGGATTAGGGCTGCTCTGTGCAAAACCACAGCACAGAGCAGGTAAGTATAACATGTTTGTTGTTGTTTTTTTTTTTTTTTTAATTGCCTTTAATATCACGTTAAGAATGAATGGCAGCCCCCATGTGTTTTTAAAGAGCAGCTGGTTTTTGGGTGCGTGAACAGGTGTGATACCCGCAATAGTTTGAACCTAGCCTTAATAGTGGGGTCAGCAGAGATTTCACTGGACTGCAGTTTGAGTAGAACAGTGGGGTAGATTTACTAAACCCGGAGCACTCTCCAGCTTTAGTAAATAAACACCAATGTGCTTTATTTTTCCATATAAAGGAAAAGAAATAGATATGTTTTCAAGATTTGCTAGGAGTTGGATCTCTGCTGACCAAAGTTCAAAGGTCAGTCTAAATTAGGTCAAGACATTTGCTTATGAAACGCCATTATCCAAAGAATGAAATTCTAGTAAAAGTAATAAACCTTTAATGCAACGGTCTCACTTTTGATCCTGACCCTCTGATTTATAAATATAATGAAAGGTCTCGCCTAATAACTCCTTTTTCTCTGCGATTTCTATTTTCCTTATTTGAAGCTGACTTCTTCAATTTACTTTCAGATGAGTCTCCATCCCCATTGGTCAATCGGGAAACCTATATATAGAAGCCCTACCCCAAGAGCCTACGCCCCAGCCTCTTCCAGTCTCACCCCCCAAACCATCTGCACCTCCATCTCCGCCGCTACCACTTCTTCCTCCACCCAAGAAGAGGCGAAAAACCGTCACTTTCCTCCTTTCTCCAGAAGAGGAGCCTGAACCTGCTGAGAGCAAACCTCCAAATCACGTGGTTACAGACAAACTACCCCCTGAGATACTACAGAAAGCACAGGAAGAGTCAGTGTTGGAACCTTTGCCACCAGCAGAGGAACCTTCACTACCTTCACCAAAGGCTCCTTCTCCGGTACATTCACCGGAGAAGCTTGTGAGCCCCAAAGCAGAGCCTGTACTGGTCCCACAGCCTGCCAAAGAGCCTTCTCAGAGGATACCATCAGAGCCACTAACAGTATTAAACCTCCCTTGGGACCATGCCTGTCTGGTCAAGTCGAACCCGCCGCGAGGCGGACAAGAAATCATGCCACCCGATGGAGAGGATATGTTAGATGATTATTATGAGGAAGAGGACAAACCGACTCTTCCAGAACTTCCACAGCAACCACAACCAAACGCGCCCGCTTCTCTACAAGAGCCGCTAGAGCCAGAACGAACTGAAAATCTTGAGGAACTTATGTTTGCCCCAGTGCGGCAGATCTTACTGGAGCACAGTTACGCACAGATACCTGCCTATTTAAAACAGCCTCCCAAGAGGCATCGTGGAGTGTCTATAGACTTGGAAAAGCCCAGCGACTTCCTCCATATCGACTTGGGCCAGCCTGTGCTGGAGGCCCCAGAGGAGGTCATTTGCGTTGGAGGTGGCTTAGTACCCGGACTTGAGGCCAGGACAGGGTTCTTGGAAGTTGGTGACCTCCGTTTGTCATCCAAGAAACCAGAGGAGACTACGGCCAAAGCAACTCATGAGCAATCTAAGAGTAAAAACCGGAAGAAGCAGCAACAAGCCAAGGAAGTGATAGAGCCTGGGGAGGTAACATCAGATGAAGATGATGAGGATGAGGAGGAAGAAGAGGAGGAATTCTGGATAACGACACGAGAGTTGAGGTCTCACAGGAACCGCCGTCCTTTAATACCACCTTCCCCACCAAAATACGAGGTGCGCAGCGAGTTTGAACAGATGACCATTCTCTATGACATCTGGAACAATGGACTGGACACAGAAGACATGTATTTCTTGCGGGAAACCTATGAGAGACTTCTTCAGGAGGACCACAGTACAGACTGGCTGAATGACACCCACTGGGTTCACCATACAAATATCCTTTACACAGCTTCGAGTGCTTTGATATAGGAAGCCATTCCAAACTATGCAAGCTCTGTTCCTCTTGCTGTTGAGGGGCTTCGAGTCCCATCATGTTCAGCAGCAGGGAAAACGTTTTGAGTACAACCGCTTTATTATTATTATTATTATTATTATTATTATTATTATATTATTATTATACAGGATTTCTATAGTGCCAACAGTTTGCTCAGCGCTTTACAATATAACGGGAGACAATACAGTTCAATGCAAGAGAGACAGGAGGGCCTGATCCTGGGAACTTACAATCTAGGAGGGAGGGGCTAATGGTACAAAAGGTAATAACTGTAGGTGATGGACTGGTAGGAGGAATAGAAGATTCCATTATTAGCTGAAGGCATGATAGGCTTCCCTGAAGAGATAGGTTTTCAGAGATCGCTTAAAAGTGAGCAGAGTTGGCGATAGTCTGATAGATTGGGGTAGAGCGTTCCAGAGGATGGGGGAAGCTGTGGGGAAGTCCTGGAGACGAGCATGGGAGGAGGGGACAAGGGAGCTAGAGAGCAGGAGGTCGTGCGGAGAGTACGGTTTGGGTGATATTTGGAGACAAGATTGGTGAAGTAATTTGGGGCGGAGTTATAAACGGCTTTATATGTGATTGTTAATGTTTTCAACTTTATCCGTTGGGCAATGGGAAGCCAGTGGAGGGATTGGCAGAGAGGGGTGGAGGACACTGAATGGAGGCCAGTGGGGGGATGGAAGACACTGAATGGAGGCCAGTGGAGGGATTGGCAGAGAGGGTTGGAGGCCAGTGGAGGGATTGGCAAGAGAGGGATGGAGGCCAGTGGAGGGATTGGCAGAGAGGGATGGAGGCCAGTGGAGGGATTGGCAGAGAGGGATGGAGGCCAGTGGAGGGATTGGCAGAGAGGGATGGAGGCCAGTGGAGGGATTGGCAGAGAGGGATGGAGGCCAGTGGAGGGATTGGCAGAGAGGGATGGAGGCCAGTGGAGGGATTGGCAAAGAGGGGTGGAGGACACTGAAGGGGGGCCAGTGGAGGGATTGGCAGAGAGGGATGGAGGACACTGAAGGGGGGCCAGTGGAGGGATTGGCAGAGAGGGATGGAGGACACTGAAGGGGGGCCAGTGAGGGTATTGGCAGAGAGGGATGGAGGACACTGAATGGGGGCCAGTGGAGGGATTGGCAGAGAGGGATGGAGGACACTGAATGGGAAGCCAGTGGAGGGATTGGCAGAGAGGGATGGAGGGATTGGCAGAGAGGGATGGAGGCCAGTGGAGGGATTGGCAAAGAGGGGTGGAGGACACTGAATGGGGGCCAGTGGAGCCATTGGCAGAGAGGGGTGGAGGACACTGAATGGAGGCCAGTGGAGGGATTGGCAGAGAGAGAGGTGAAGGACACTGAATGGAGGCCAGTGGAGGGATTGGCAGAGAGGGATGGAGGACACTGAATGGAGGCCAGTGGAGGGATTGGCAGAGAGGGTGAAGGACACTGAATGGAGGCCAGTGGAGGGATTGGCAGAGAGAGGTGAAGGACACTGAATGGGGGCCAGTGGGGGGATTGGCAGAGAGAGGTGAAGGACACTGAATGGGGGCCAGTGGGGGGATTGGCAGAGAGTGGTGGCAGATACAGAATGGTTAGGTGGATGAGTCTGGCAGCAGCATTCATGATAGACTGAAGAGGGGAGAGCCTGCTTTAATCACAAAGGGTCAGACAAATAAAACTCTGAACTGCTGGATCCCTAGCACCAGTCTTTCAACATCACCGTTTAGGCCCAGTACGGTAGGTGAGAATATAAGTAAACTTAAAAAAAAAAGTGTGAAAACTCAGAATATCACTAGTGCCCATCAGTAAATGCTTCTCTTTAGAACTATCGGGTCACTTGGGAGTCCTGCATTCTGTCTGACCTGTACTATGTGGCTTTTTATGCGGTTTAGAATGTCCACTATAAATTTCAAAGAATAATTTCAGGCATCGGCATGCTATACATTGCTGTATTGGTCAAGCTTGGACCAATGTTACTATCCATATGACATACCTAGTTGATGCTGCTGGAAATCGCTGTAAGAGACACCACTACTTCAGTGATCTTCACTTGCTTCCGGGTCCCATGCCAAGCGACTGCCCTCCTGCATTGTGAATACTGGAGGTTGGCTACTCGGCAAAGACACCGTTTCGAGAATGCTTTTGCATTTTCTGAATGAATGCAAATTGTTCTCTGATTGGATGAGGAGGAGAAATAGGGTGGTGATGTCAGACTCTCTCCACCTCCTCCAATCAGAGAACACTTTGCATTCATTCAGAATATGCAAAGAATGCTCTAATTGGCACCCTTGCTGAGCAGCCAACCTCCTGTATTCACAAGGCATCAGGCCAGCCCCTCCGCACGGGACCTGGAAGCAAGTTGGATATCACTGGGGAGTAGTGGTGTAGTAGCCGTGTCTGCGTCAGTGATTTCCAGCCTTCAACATTGGCCAATTATGGTACATGCATAGTAACAGTTGTGCTCAAAAGATTGCATCTCCTGGCAGAAATTGTGAAATTTTGATATTGAAAATATGACTGATCATGGTCTTTTATTGAAGGATGATGATCATATGAAGCCATTTATTATCAAATAGTTGTTTGGCTCTTTTTTGAATCATAATGATAACAGAAATCACACAAATGGCCCAGATCAGAAGTCTCCACCCCCTGGAATGTTCTTCCTTGGTACAGACACACAAGGTGACACACACAGGTTAAAATGGCAATTAAAGGTCCATTTGCCACATCTGTGGTTTTTTAAATTGCAATTAGTGTCTGTGTATAAATAGTCAATGAGTTTTGTTAGCACTGAGCAGGCTAGATACTGAGCCATGGGGAGCAGAAAAGAACTGTCCAAAGACCTGTGTAACCAGAAAATGGAACTGGCATATTCAGGGCTTTGAATATATTTTTATATCCTTTTCCATCTTTATACAGTCAACACTGTTGAATCACTTATTAAGAAGTGGAAATTTTGAGGATCTCTTGATACCAAGCCAAGGTCAGGTAGACCAAGTAAGATTGCAGCCACAACTGCCAGAAGAATTGTTGGGGATACAAAGAAAATCCCCACAGGTAAACTCGGGAAATACCGGCTGCTTTGGAAAAAGATGGCGTGGTTGTTTTTAAAGAGCACAATATGATGATACTTGAACAAAAATGAGCTGCATGATCGAGTTGGCAGAAAGAAGCCTTTACTGCGTCAATGCTACAAAAAAGCCCGGTTACAATATGCCTGACAACACTGTACTGCACCAATGCCACAAGATGGCCGGTACGACGTGTCAAAGGGTTCTTTCTGGCAACTAGACAATGCATTTTTAGGGATGATCAGTCATATTTTCAATATAAATGCTACAATTTCACGATTTCTGCCAGGGTGAGCACAACTGTACATGGTCCTTGCTGTATAATCTGCCCATGCCTGGAATTCTTTAAATTGTTTTTCACAATGTATGTACGGGTGTACCTCAGTTTACGAATTTAATGCATTCTCCGCATTTCGGTTTACAAATTTTTTACAATACGAAACTTCCTGGTTTCCCATAGGAAAGCATTGAAAACCAATTAATCCGTTCCGGAGGTCAGAAAAAAAGTCGCTGTCAGTATAGGTCCGTGCCGGTTATTTAATGTAATTACCGGCTTTTTATTTTTTCTTCACTATAGCTCAGAGAATCAGCTGTCACTTCCCCCCCCCCCCCCCCCAGCTAAAAGAAACAATGTTTCCGATTAGTTTATTGAGTTAAAAGAAACAATGTTTCTTTTAGTTTGAGTTAAAAGAAACAATGTTTCCTTTTATTTTCTTAAACCGATTCCTTTAGCTCCAGGGAAAGTGACAGCTAATTCTGTGAGCTATAGTGAAGATAAAAAAAAAAAAAAGCCGGAAATTGCATTTAAAAACCGGCACTGACATACACTTCGTATTGTGAAAAAAAACTCAGGCAGTATTTTCAATGGATTTTCATTCTTAAACCAAAAAATTACTTTAACCGAGGCGTTCGTAAACCGAGGTACACCTGTATTGGCGATGTTGTCTTGTTAGCGCACGTCTGCCGCACACTGTTGCCTTCCTTAACTCCGCCTCACTCACCAACATTGCTGACCCCAAGAAAAAACGGAACAAGCAAGATGGTCTGCGGGAGCACCAGACGGGTTGTGCTCGCAGTGAAGGCTACTATGCCATCAGCAGGAAGGACAAAGACAAGTACCTGGATGTGATTCCTGTATCCGTACGGGAACTGGACAGCGACTTGCAGGTCTGTATCACATCACTGGAGACCGTTTGTATTGAACTGAACACATCTAGATGCCAGGCTGTGTTTGCTAGTTTTTTTTTTCTGCTCTGTTGTGTGCTTTTTTTTATTGCATTTCTTTGTGATCCTGCCTGTTTTTCTTTTAAGTTAAAGCGGAGTTCCACCCAAAAGGGGAAGTTCCGCTTTAAAGATTGGTCCCCGCTCCCCATTAAGGATTGGCACCTTTGGGGAGCAAATCAACACAAAAATCCAATATGTAAATAAATAGCCCTAAACCTATATATACCCATATATTGAACCCAAATAATCTAAGGCAGCAATGGGCAAACTACGGCCCGCGGGCCGTATACAGCCCGGCGGACCTTTTAATCCGGCCCGCGGAGCGTGATACATTGGCTGTCAGGATGTGTGTAGGCGGGGCAGCGTGACGAACGTGAGGGGAGCTAGGCTCCTCTCACAGTCCGCCCTGAAGACCGGAACGGCGCGGGAACACGGCGAGAGGAACGCGCGGAGCAAAGGTAAGTGAATTGACACAGGGGGGACTTGGCTTACTACTTGGGGGGGAATAGTACTGTGGGGGGGATGAAATACTATATGGGGGTAAATTACTATATGGGGGATGAAATAATATGGGGAATGAATTACTATATGGGGGATGAATTACTATATGGGGGATGAATTACTATGTGGGGGATGAATTACTATAGGGGGGATGAATTACTATGGGGGATGAATTACTATATGGGGGATGAATTACTATAGGGGGGATGAATTACTATGGGGGATGAATTACTATAGGGGGGATGAATTACTATATGGGGGATGAATTACTATAGGGGGGATGAATTACTATAGGGGGGATGAATTACTATAGGGGGGATGAATTACTATATGGGGGATGAATTACTATATGGGGGATGAATTACTATATGGGGGATGAATTACTATATGGGGGATTAATTACTATGCTTACTATGGGGGAATATTACTATACTTACTACGGATGACACATACACATCATTCATCTACTCTTGGTCCGGCCCCCGGGTCCAATATATGAACCCATTGCGGCCCTCAAGTCAAAAAGTTTGCCCACCCCTGATCTAAGGTGTATATCAAAAAAATTCCAAAATATATACAATCCAAAATAAACAATATAAGTCACTTGTATCCAAAAGTCGTGTAAATAAAGTCACTCCAAAAAACTTAGTGTCCAAAATAATCCAACTTATCGGATCCTTTGGTGCCGAGCCCCTCCAATGGCTCTCAAAAGAATATAAAATACCAGAAAGCAAATAAAAAAAACCGCCTTATCAATATTGTAGAGATCAGCAGCACACTTCCACACCTTTCCACCAATCCTGAAAAGTACTTCCTAGGATATCATCCACCACATTCTCCTGAATGTCATACCTTTTAGGGACCGGGTACCCGAAGTTGACAGGATACCCCGCTCCCACCTCCGCTGCAATCGCGTAGGCGATCAAAAGCGGAAGTTGTCCCCCCCCCCCCCCCCAAAAGCAGGTTGCTATGGAGGCACTCAAGCAGGCTCGCTTCCGAGCCACTACTTTGTGTGTCCATTCACACACAGAGCCATGGCTTGGCCTTGCCCCTCCCCCACCTCTTCATTGTCTCACTGGCTGTGATTGAAAGGTCTCAGTCAATAAGAAGGGATTGTCCCTGGAGAGCCGAGGCTCTCATGCACATCGCAGTGTGGTTCAGGTATGTATTAGGGGGCTGCTGCACACAGGTTTTCTACCTTCATGCATGGAATGCATTTTTCCTGGCTCCCGTACAGCCGTCTGTCATTTCCTGCCCTGTTACTTTAGAAATGTGCAGCGGTGTGGATGTGTTTCAGGATCTTAGCACAACAGAGCGATCAGACTTAACAAAGCTGGGGAGTCAAAGCGATTCTACTGCAGAGGGCAGACGAATGTGCAGCTGAATGTAACGAGCCGTGGTGCCGACATGAGATGGTTGACAATGTTAGATTTTGTATGCCAAGTGTTTGTCCCGGCTGTGATTCATCCTGAATGGGAAGTCTGACCAATGTCACTACTCCGGGTCTTTGTCAGAACGTATCTTTGTACTGGCGCCGGTTTATACTTCCCGTCCAATGAAACAAAGTGATTCAGATAAATGCGGGGAATCGGGAAGTGCAGATTGTGGTTGCGTCATATTCAAACATCCAGCAAAAATAAATACCACAATTGGTCACTACATTCCAGAAACCTCTCCAGCCTTCATCAGAGCCATGTGTGTGCACACTCCTACCACAGACTAATTCACAAATCCCTTTGCTGTGTAATTGATCTCCACAATCCAGCATAAATCCCCCCTCCTCCCCAGTACAAATCCCCAAGTATCCATGTGAATGTTGGGAGGAGATGGGGGGGGGGGGGGGGGTTGGGGGCATTGAACGGGCCCTTCACAGTCCTGATACAGGAGCGCTACAGTAACAGGAGGAGGAGCTGGAGGGAATAGACAGCGTAGCCCGCACCGCACCTCCTCCCAGCTCTCTCCTCCAGATTTAGCTTGCCTCTTCCTGCAAAAACAGAAGGAAGAGCTGGAGGGAATAGACAGCATAGCCCGCACCTCCTCCCAGCTCTCTCCTCTTCTCCAGATTTAGCTTTCCTCTTCCTGCAGTAACAGGAGGAGCTGGAGGGAATAGACAGCATAGCCCGCACCTCCTCCCAGCTCTCTCCTCTTCTCCAGATTTAGCTTTCCTCTTCCTGCAGTAACAGAAGGAGGAGCTGGAGGGAATAGACAGCATAGCCCGCACCTCCTCCCAGCTCTCTCCTCTTCTCCAGATTTAGCTTTCCTCTTCCTGCAGTAACAGGAGGAGCTGGAGGGAATAGACAGCATAGCCCGCACCTCCTCCCAGCTCTCTCCTCTTCTCCAGATTTAGCTTTCCTCTTCCTGCAGTAACAGGAGGAGCTGGAGGGAATAGACAGCATAGCCCGCACCTCCTCCCAGCTCTCTCCTCTTCTCCAGATTTAGCTTTCCTCTTCCTGCAGTAACAGAAGGAGGAGCTGGAGGGAATAGACAGCATAGCCCGCACCTCCTCCCAGCTCTCTCCTCTTCTCCAGATTTAGCTTTCCTCTTCCTGCAGTAACAGGAGGAGCTGGAGGGAATAGACAGCATAGCCCGCACCTCCTCCCAGCTCTCTCCTCTCCTCTAGATTTAGCTTGCCTCTTCCTGCAGTAACAGGAGGAGCTGGAGGGAATAGACAGCATAGCCCGCACCTCCTCCCAGCTCTCTCCTCTTCTCCAGATTTAGCTTTCCTCTTCCTGCAGTAACAGAAGGAGGAGCTGGAGGGAATAGACGGCATAGCCCGCACCTCCTCCCAGCTCTCTCCTCTCCTCTAGATTTGGCTTGCCTCTTCCTGCAGTAAGTTGACAGAAGTTGTGATGCCGCTGTCAGTACTCCTGTCAGCTTACAGCGGCAGGAACTTTCCTCGTGGCGCCCCCTTCACCTCACAGCGCACAGGGCAGCCGCCCCTCCTGCCGCTAGTAGCTGCCCATTATCCGAGCAGAAAGATTTTGTGTTTCACCAGGTGAGGCGCTCTGAAGGCAGAACATTTTTTTATCTTAGTGGTTATAAAGGCCCAAGGTTTTTTACCCCACAATGCTTGCCTGAGCCTCATGTCGATACAGCATTGTGCATGGGAGCCTCGGCTCTCCCGGGTCTCTCCTTCATTGGCCGAGACAGCAGCGGGAGTCATTGACTCCCGCTACAATGACATTAAGGTAATGTTTCAGTGGAAGGATCGCTCCTTACCTGCCCTATACTTAACGGAGTCCTATGTCTGTAACTGCGCTGATCTCTCTCTTCTCAGAGGACAGAGAGAAAGCAGTGGGAACCATTGGCTCCTGCTGCTGTCAATCAAATCCTGTGAGTATGTGTCTATAGGCGTGCACAGCCCAGCTCCGGAGTCAACCCGCTGGTGTGCCTCCATAGAAAGTGGATTCCTATGGTGGTGCGCTAAGAAGGGGAGGAGCCTGGAGCACCAGTAGAGAGCGGGTAAATATAATGTTTATTATAACTTTTAGGATACAATTCTTTCTTTTACTGGCGTGAACCTTTTTGAAGTACAAAGAAAGGGTTGAAACCCCCTGTTGGCGTATGTTTTGATGTCGGTTTCCTGTTTGGGAGATTCTCCTTCACTTCCTGTCTTAGTGATGCAGCAGAAAGTGAGAGGAAATGTCCCCAATGCGGGGGAATTGGAGCGAGCAAAAACTGAAAAATAATATACTAATAATCCAGACATAAAAGGGCTACTCAAAATACTTTGTGACAATAATAATGTATTTATGAATAAAGGCTGAAAGCGTGATTTTGCAGACTTCAAGCAGAAAAGCCAATCAGTGCTCCAGAAATACAGATTGGCTTCTAGTGATTTAGCTGGGTGGAGCATCTACTGCGGGGAGGACGCCCTCTGCGTACGGGGACCCCCCAATGTTTTCTTGATGTGCCTACTATTATTATTATTACAAGTACTTGTATAGCGCCGTCAACTTACGCAGCACTTTACACATATATTGTACATTCACATCAGTCCCTAACCCTCATGGGGCGTACAATCTAAGGTCCCTAACTCACATTCATACATACACATACTAGGGACAATTTACATATTCAGGAGCCAATTCACCTACCAGCATGTCTTTGTACCCGGAGGAAACCCACGCAGGCACAGGAAGAACATGCAAATTCCAGGCAGGTGATGCCGTGGTTGGGATTCGAACCAACGACCCCTAGTACTGCCAGGTGGAAGTGCTAACCATTTAGCCACTGTGCTGCCCACACTGACCGTCTTCAATCCTTTTCTTTGTTAATGTTTTCTTCTCTTTTATTACAGGGTACAAACAGGGTGTTGTCTGAGCGCCGCTCTGAGCAGAGGCGCCTTCTCAATGCCATCGGCTCTTTCTCAATATTGGACAGCGACTTGCTAAAGCTCAACCAGCTGAAGGTAAGAAGTGCCTGCAACGCTTTGTTCTGAAGACAGGAGGGCAACAATGGAGTAATAATGGACAAGATGCAAAGTCCGTACGTTGTTAGTGGTTGAGCAATGCTCTGCCAGCACTTTTATTATGATTATTATTATACAGGATTTATATCGCACCAGCAGTTTGCTCAGCACTTTATAATATAAAGGGGGACAGTTCAGCTACAATACAATAAACTACAAGAGGGTTATACTCCTAAGAGCTTCAGTCAGCTGTGACGCCTATCAAGACCAATGTATACATGTTATTATTCATCACATAACTATTACTAAAAGTGTCACTGTTGCCAGAATATAGACCATAGTCTCTTTGGTGTCTCTTTAATGTTTTTTTTTTTTTGTTTTGTTTTGGGGCACTTCACCATATTTTTTGCTCCATAAGACGCACCTAGGTTTTAGAGGAGCAAAACAAGAAAAAAACAAAATTCTGAACCAATGGACTGCAGACATAGAGGAAATGACCAGAGACTGCGGACATAGTACATGAGATGACCAGAGACTGCGGACACAGTACAGGAGATGACCAGAGACTGCGGACACACTACAGGAGATGACCAGAGACTGCGGACATAGTACATGAGATGACCAAAGACTGCGGACATAGTACATGAGATGACCAAAGACTGCGGACATAGTACATGAGATGACCAAAGACTGCGGACATAGTACATGAGATGACCAGAGACTGCGGACAGTACAGGAGATGATTAGAGACTGCGGACACAGTACAGGAGATGACCAGAGACTGCGGACACAGTACAGGAGATGACCAGAGACTGCGGACACAGTACAGGAGATGACCAGAGACTGCGGACACAGTACAGGAGATGACCAGAGACTGCGGACAGTACAGGCATGACCAGAGACTGCGGACAGTACAGGCATGACCAGAGACTGCGGACAGTACAGGCATGACCAGAAACTGCAGACACGGTACAGGAGATGACCAGAGACTGCGGACACAGTACAGGAGATGACCAGAGACTGCGGACACGGTACAGGGGATGACCAGAGACTGCGGACACGGTACAGGGGATGACCAGAGACTGCGGACACGGTACAGGGGATGACCAGAGACTGCGGACACGGTACAGGAGATGACCAGAGGATGCAGACCTTTGGGAAGCAGATGGGGGGGGGGAGCGATTTTTAGGATTTTTTTTTTTTTTTTGCATTGCCTGGGGATTTCAAATAAGAGCCTTTACATATTCAAAAAAATAGTAGATTGGCAGCTATTGATCGGACGTGACACATTACCCCATAATGAAACTGCAAACTTGTTATCATCTGCTTCTGCAGTTCCGTAAGAAGAAGCTGAGATTCGGCCGCAGTCGCATTCATGAGTGGGGTCTCTTCGCCATGGAGCCCATCGCTGCCGATGAGATGGTGATTGAGTACGTTGGGCAAAACATCCGTCAGGTGAGGCTTTGTCCAGCCGCTAGATGGCGCTGCTACATCCATTTTCACAGCTTGGTTAGGCTTTGTTCAGCCACTAGATGGCGCTGCTACATCCATTTTCACAGCTTGGTTAGGCTTTGTCCAGCCGCTAGATGGCGCTGCTACATCCATTTTCACAGCTTGGTTAGGCTTTGTCCAGCCGCTAGATGGCGCTGCTACATCCATTTACACAGCTTGGTTAGGCTTTGTTCAACCGCTAGATGGCGCTGCTACATCCATTTTCACAGCTTGGTTAGGCTTTGTTCAGCCGCTAGATGGCGCTGCTACATCCATTTTCACAGCTTGGTTAGGCTTTGTTCAGCCGCTAGATGGCGCTGCTACATCCATTTACACAGCTTGGTTAGGCTTTGTTCAACCGCTAGATGGCGCTGCTACATCCATTTTCACAGCTTGGTTAGGCTTTGTTCAGCCGCTAGATGGCGCTGCTACATCCATTTTCACAGCTTGTTTAGGCTTTGTTCAGCCTCTAGATGGCGCTGCTACATCCATTTTCACAGCTTGGTTAGGCTTTGTTCAGCCTCTAGACGGCGCTGCTACATCCATTTTCACAGCTTGGTTAGGCTTTGTCCAGCCGCTAGACGGCGCTGCTACATCCATTTTCACAGCTTGGTTAGGCTTTGTTCAGCCGCTAGACGGCGCTGCTACATCCATTTTCACAGCTTGGTTAGGCTTTGTTCAACCGCTAGATGGCGCTGCTACATCCATTTTCACAGCTTGGTTAGGCTTTGTTCAGCCGCTAGACGGCGCTGCTACATCCATTTTCACAGCTACATACTATAGCCTGCATGTCTATTTTTATAAAGGTTCAAAATTGTTAATGAGATATCAACTATGTTTTATTTATTCATGAGTTGTTTAAAGGTTTTCAATAACCATCATTTTGGATGGGATTGACAATACTTTTTAAAGTAATTATTAAAAAAAAAGAAAAGTGACCCTTTACAAACCTGTCATACTTTCCTTCTGTGCGTAATGGTTTTGAACAAAGCAGCCCCAATTCTCCTCTTCTTGGGTCCTTCGCTAGCGCTTCTGACTTCTCACCTTCACTGAGTGCCCCCGTAGTAAGCTGCTTGCTATGGGGGCACCTGTGCAGGCTTGCTCCTGGGGGCTGGCTGGCTGTCTGTCCTTTTGACACAGAGCGTGGATCAGTCCCTCTCGCTACTCATTGGCTGTGATTGACAGCAGCCAGAGCGAATGGCTCCTGCTGTCTCTGAGCAAGCGAGGCGTGAGAGAGCCTCTCAGGCACAGTGCTGGTTCGAGATTGGGCTCAGGTAAGTATAAGGGGAAGCTGGGGGGGGGGAGTTGAATGCAGAAGGTTTTTTTTTACCTTAACCACTTCCCGTCCGGCCGTTGTATATAAACGCAATCCGGTGCCCGCTGTGTCCTCCAGACACAGCGGAACACCGATCGTCGTACAGGACCTCTGTACGAGGTCGCGATCATGTGATCACTGATTGGCCAATCAGTGATCACATGCAGAGTAGTAAGCAAGATGTCACTTCTGACATCATTGCTTACTACGTGTGAAATCTGTGAATGATCACAGAGATCACATGGTACAGGGCCATTCACAACAGCCTTGTACCATGTGACAAGCTGTGACCAATCACAGCTCACAAAGTATTTCTCAATGGCAAAGCCAGAGAGAAGAAGAAATGATTGCTTTTACAGCCTTTATGGGTGTAAAAAAAAAAAAAAAAAAAAAAATCATCACCCCCCACAAGTAGTACAGTGTCACCATGATGACACTGTACTGCTAGGGTGACAATATGTAAAAAAAAAACTTCAAAAAAAAAAACCCAAATTAGTTTATACCAAAAATTATACTTTTTAAAAATTTTTTTTTTTTTTTTTTTTTTTTTGGACTAAAAAGATAACGGAATAAATTTTGGCCAAGATTTATGATGAAATATTATTTATTTGCAAAATTTTATAAGAAAAACACTTTTTTTCAAAATTTTTTGGACGTTTTCATTTACATAGCAAAAAAAATAAAAATCCCAGCGGTGAATAAATACCACCAAAATAAAGCTTTATCTGTCTCAAAAATAATGCTAAAAAATTCATATGGGTACAGTGTTGCATGACCGCGCAATTGTCATTCAAAATGTGACAGCGCTGAAAGCTGAAAATTGGCCTGGACTGGAAGGGGGGGAAAGTGTCCGGACCGGAAGGGGGGGAAAGTGTCCGGACCGGAAGGGGGGGAAAGTGTCCGGACCGGAAGGGGGGGAAAGTGTCCGGACCGGAAGGGGGGGAAAGTGTCCGGACCGGAAGGGGGGGAAAGTGTCCGGACCGGAAGGGAAGGGGGGGAAAGTGTCCGGACCGGAAGGGAAGGGGGGGAAAGTGTCCGGACCGGAAGGGAAGGGGGGGAAAGTGTCCGGACCGGAAGGGAAGGGGGGGAAAGTGTCCGGACCGGAAGGGAAGGGGGGGAAAGTGTCCGGACCGGAAGGGAAGGGGGGGAAAGTGTCCGGACCGGAAGGGAAGGGGGGGGAAAGTGTCCGGACCGGAAGGGAAGGGGGGGGAAAGTGTCCGGACCGGAAGGGAAGGGGGGGGGAAAGTGTCCGGACCGGAAGGGGGGGGAAAGTGTCCGGACCGGAAGGGGTTAATGCAGACAATGAATTGAAGTACAGAAAACCTTTATTCCTGCAGATCCTCTCTAAAGTCCATCCTGCTCTCTGTTTTCCTTACTTTGTGATGCAAGGTAAGCCCATCGAAGTGCACTGACTTAGTGAGGGAGACCACTAATCCGTGGCTGTGATAGTCCCACGCTGAATGTCCCCCTCAGTCACCAGGGCCTCCTTAGGGGTCCTTTCCTTGGGTTGAAGGTTTATGACATTTCTGAATTCAATCTCTTCTCTCATTTGTGTCAAATGTGTCCTAAGCCGGGATGTGTTCTACCACAGGCATCCCCTCCCGTGAATGTCCAACACAAGATTTGACTTTTTGTTACTGACTTTTGAATTTTGGAGAATAGAGGGTGGTGGCCCTGTGCTCGATACGACTTCCCCATTCTCTGCACTAAGGCTGGCCATATATTATACAATTTTCTTGAGATATTTGTTTAGATTTACCAAAAACCATATAATAGGAGGTCAAACCAAAACAACACTTTCAATTGTATTCAGTTAGGCCGGCTCTCGCTCTACATAGTTGAAGGTAAATCTAAAGGAAATTGGACAGAAAATTGTATAGTGTATGGCCAGCCTACGTTTGGGGCTATTTCAACATTAATGTCATTATACATGGCTTTTCTAGGCACCTAAAACAAAACGGCATAATTGACGCAAGGCACATCCTCTTCTTGCAGTGCGCCCACTGCTCCCGACTGTGCGCTCCCTCTGCTCCCGACTGTGCGCTCCCCTCTGCTCCCGACTGTGCGCTCCCTCTGCTCCCGACTGGGCGCTCCCTGCTGCTCCCTCTGCTCCCGACTGGGCGCTCCCTCTGACTGGGCGCTCCCCTGACTGGGCGCTCCCTCTGCTCCCGACTGGGCGCTCCCTCTGCTCCCGACTGGGCGCTCCCTCTGCTCCCGACTGGGCGCTCCCTCTGCTCCCGACTCTGCTCCCGGTGCGCTCCCTCTGCTCCCGACGGTGCGCTCCCTCTGCTCCCGACGGTGCGCTCCCTCTGCTCCCGACGGTGCGCTCCCTCTGCTCCCGACGGTGCGCTCCCTCTGCTCCCTGCGCTCCCTCTGCTCCCGACGGTGCGCTCCCTCTGCTCCCGACGGTGCGCTCCCTCTGCTCCCGACGGTGCGCTCCCTCTGCTCCCGACGGTGCGCTCCCTCTGCTCCCGACGGTGCGCTCCCTCTGCTCCCGACGGTGCGCTCCCTCTGCTCCCGACGGTGCGCTCCCTCTGCTCCCGACGGTGCGCTCCCTCTGCTCCCGACGGTGCGCTCCCTCTGCTCCCGACGGTGCGCTCCCTCTGCTCCCGACGGTGCGCTCCTCCTCTGCTCCCGACGGTGCGCTCCCACTGCTCCCGACGGTGCGCTCCCACTGCTCCCGACGGTGCGCTCCCACTGCTCCCGACGGTGCGCTCCCTCCTCCCAGGGGACTGCGCTCCCCGACTGTTTAGCAGGCCACACTTTCATCAATTTTCTATCCTATAACCTGTGCAAATCGCTCGATTCCCCCATCAACAGTGTTCAGCGTTGTTCCAGCACACAGGTGACCGATGTTTATGTGTGTAATGTTAGCCCATCATTCAGACGTTTACAGCTCCATCTCCTTGTGTGATGTTGTTGTATTTGCTGACATTGCACAAGAACTGGTAACGCGAAAAATAAATAGCGCTGAATCAGATCTGACTACACCCATTATATAACATTCACTTGGGAAACGTGCCAGGCTAGGATTATGTTCCTCTCCACTCCTGTCTGTCAGCCAGATCTGAGTCACCTACGGATGTTTTTTGTGTTTTTTTGCTTTTTTTTTTTTGCTTTGACACTTTTGCCGCAGGAGCCTTTTTTTTCTCTCTTTTTTTTTTTTTTTTTTTTTTTTTTTTTTTTTTTTTTCTCTCTCTTCCTTTTTTTCCCTTTTTTTTCTCTTTTCCTTTTTTTTCCCTTTTTTTTTTCTCTTTTTTTTTCTTTTTTTTTTTCTCTTTTTTTTTCCCTTTTTTGCTTTTCCTTTTTTTTTCTCTTTTTTTTTTTTCCCTTTTTTGCTTTTTCTCTCTTTTTTTTTTTTTTCCTTTTTTTTTTCTTTTCCTTTTCCCTTTTTTTCTCCTTTTTTTTTTTTCTTTTTTTTTTTTCTTTTCTCTTTTCTTTTTCTTTTTCTCCTTTTTTTTTCTCTTTTCTTTTTTTTTTTTCTCTTTTCTTTTTTTTTTTTTTCTTTTTTTTTCTCTTTTCTCTTCTTTTTTTTTTTTTTTTTTTTTCTCTTCTCTTTTTTTCTTTTTTTTTTCTCTTCTCCTTTTTTTTTTTTGTTGCATGTTAAAATATGCATTTGGCTAGAAATTACTGCAAACCCCCCAAAAAGTTGTGTTTTTTTTTTTTTTTTTCTAATGACTAAAAAGCTCCTGTAAAAGAAGATTGGTTATACTAGCTGTATCGGCTTCCATTAGTTTTATTCTTTTTTCCATCTACAGAATCCGTTTAATAGAGGATTAGTGTATTTCTTGGCACCAGGAGTGTCCTTTTATATCAGTGCAGGTATGAGAATCCTCAGGACAGTCTGGCAAATACTTCTGGAGCCATTTCCTCAGGTGATGCTACCTATGTCAGAATACCTACTGGAAAGGACAGAGATTTTCTCTTTTTTTTTTTTTTTTTTTTTCTATGCTCCTTATTTTTTTCTTTATTTTTTCACTTGATTTAATCACTTTGAATGGAGATCGGAGTTCCTGCGGTTTACAGTCAGATTCTTTGCCAGTATCCTCTACAGCAGTTGACTTGCAGTCCTGTTCTGGCCGACCGCCATTGCTTTTCTCTTTGCGGTGTCTAGAGCACCTCCCCAGCCAGGACACAGCGATACGATTGGTGGTTGCAGTGCGCAGGCTTGTAGAGCAATGCTTTTTTTTTTTTTTAAACTCCGTCTGATTGTCAGGTTGGCTGAAGTGAAGGTGTACAGTATGTACAGTATAGGCTACTTCTTGATGTATTGCAGTTGTTCTATCCTTTAGATCACTCATGCCCAATTTGCAGCCCTTCGGTTTATGATGTGTGGCCCTCGGCCCTCGGCAGTCTATAGTGGGAACATTGATTGGGGTAATAGCATTGATCTCTGCTAGCCTTGTGTAACATGTTCCCAGTTTCGTCTTGTCTTCTGCAGCCATCCCCAGCGGCAACGTATCCTGTCCTCATTCTCTGACCTTCATTTCTGACATCCTCTCAAGCATTACATATATTGAACATGATGTGTGGCCCCTCAGTGATGTCAGGGAAAGCATTGGAGGCCCCCCCTCTAGCTCAAAGGGGGACAACCACTGCTTTAGATTCTTCAGGTCCACTTAGCACTTGCAATTCTTTCTCTTTACAGGGAGACTTGCTTTTTCCTTTGCAGGACCCTATAGAGCCACTCTTGCATGCTCAATCCTAGTCCAAAGCTGTGTTTGTCAATGCAAATACACAGCCTCAAAGCCTTAAAGCGGAGTTCCACTCGACCTATCAAAAAAATAAGTCAGCAGCTACAAAAACTGTCCCGTGGTGTGTCCCCCGCAGCCCGTTTCACCGGCCGTCTTTAATTTCAGGAGGCCGGCATCTTCAGTGTGGGCACCGGGCTGTGACAGCTTGCGGTTTCACAGCCAGGTGCCCACTGCACATGTGCAAGTAGCGCTGCACTTCATGAATGGTCCTGTAGTCTTCTGGGACCTGTCACATGTCCCACAAGACTACGGGGAGGGAGGACACCTTCCATTTCCAATCGCCGCAGCAATCGGAGCAGAAGTGGGAGCGGGTACCTTTCAAATTCGGGTACCCGCTCCCCCCCAGCTCCCCAAAGGTGCCAATCCTTAATGCGGAGTGGGGGGAGCAGTCCTTAAAGTGGAACTTCCCCTTTTGGGTGGAGCTCCGCTTTAAGCTGGCAATAGATTGAAATTCGTCCGGATCAGCAGGAACCAACTGAATATCGATCAACTTCAGTACAACCAATTTTTTTTTTTTTTTCATGTGATCATGTGATTTTTTTTTTTTTTTTTTTTTTTTTTTCATGTGGCTATAGCCCTGATGGCAGGGAGCCCTCCAGCTGTCAGATAACAATAGCACAGCGGGAGGGATTCCCCCATCAACACGGACGGTGTTCGTGGGGGAATCGAGCAGGTTTCTTTTCTTCATTCTGTGGCTGAAAGAAAGAGAGAATAATCTATAGCCAGCCTTAGAATGGGGAACCATTCCCCTGCTCCTCCCTCCTCAAATCCAGTAGATGGAAAGCTGCTGTCCCATTGGGATTGGATCAGCTTGGTCCAAACGTACTATTTAAAGTTCACTGAGCCCTGGTTCACATCTGTGCGGCCGTGCAGTCCACGTTTTGCGCAGGCCCAAGAGCCCATTCATTTGAATTGGACTCCCGTGCCACTCAGGGGCGGACTGACCATTCGAGCACTTGGGCACTGCCCGAGGGCCCGGGGTCAGTAGGGGGCCCCATGAAATACCCCTGGTACCTTTTTTATAGGCTTTTTTTGAGTGTGGGCAAGGACACAGGGGCCCCATGATCCCCTATTGCCCGAGGGCCCCATGAGTTGTCAGTCCGCATCTGCCTGCACTCCCTCTGAAAATGCAGTCAAGGTTCCCAGTACAGTTGCATTTTCCAGTGCGATTGGCATGCCATTAGAACTAATGGCACCCACCCGCGGGTCCGCATTCCACGGATTTTTGTGCGGATCCGCAGCGGCACCACCTGCACATGTGAACCAAGCCTGAAACCTGGAGTTCTGCTTTAAGTGCTTTTGGATAAAATACCCCGTAATCTGCTGTTTCCACAGTAATAAAACGCAGACATTTTACACAGCACTTTTCATAGTATTCATTTACAGATGTAAATGGAGAAACTAAAAAAGGGCGCACCGACCTAGTGCATTATCATTTAAAAATATATTTATTTAAGGGACAAAGTAAGTATCATACTCACAATAGACATAAAACACAGGCATGTTAAACTGAACAAGATGTATGGTCCATACGATGGAACCTGGATGACCAACTGACTAACGTGTTTCAAGGACACAACCTCTTCCTCAGAGCCAACCTGGTCCTCGAAACGCGTTAGCAGGTTGGTCATCCAGGGTTCCATCGTATGGACTCAGATGCTGTTTGGATCATACATCTTGTTCAGTTTAACATGCCTGTGTTTTTATGTCCATTGTGAGTATGATACTTACTTTGTTCCTTCAATAAATATATTTTTAAACGATAATTTACTAGGTTGGTGCGCCTTTTTTTTGTTTCTCCATTTGCATCTAGTGTATTTGGACCACCCCGGTCTGTAGAGGGCAGCAAGCAGTGCATATTCCAGAATATTCCAGAACATTCCTATTGGGTCTACTGAGTCCATTCGTAGCGCAGGAGAAAATTGTTTGTTGTGTTTCATTTACAGTTGTCTCTGCTCCCAAGGAGCTTACAATCTAAGGTCCTTCTCTCACATACACATCCATATACTCGGGCCAATTCAGGCAAGGAGCCAGTTAACCTAGCAGCATGTCTGCGCAGTGTGGGAGGAAACCAGAATACCCAGAGAAAACCCATGCAGGCACAGGGAGGCCACACACACTCATTCAGATATTGTCCTGGTTGGGATTTGAACTGAAGACCCCAGTGCTGCCACTCTGCTGATTTAACGTGTTCTGATCCCAGGACAAAAATGCTCTGCAGCCGCTCTTGCCATGGCTGATCCCAGAATTATGGATGTTGGTACCTGGAAGCGTCATTAAGTATATATCCGCTCAGCATGGCACATACTTCTTCTCAGTGTACATGCGCCATCTTGGAGCTCCAACAGTCCGTCCTGAAATCACAGCAGCTCCTCTCTCCCTCACTTTTGTCTCACTTCGTTAACCTGTTGGCAAAATCTCCACCTGCTGCTCACGTCAAAGGACCATCTTGGTCCCCTTAGTGGTCATGTGATCCAATATAAACACTTAACTTTTTTTTTTGGATAACGAAGCCGTAATGGTAAAGGAACCATTTTGGCTGTTGGTATGTTGAATTTCCATCCACTGCAAGTACCTGTCAGACATGAATTGGTAAACTTTATTCTAGGTTGGGTTGGCTTTGCTCTGCCAGCGATTGCACAGATCCCAGCTATAAAGAAGAGGATAGAGTCTGGGAAAGGACAAGGGCAGCCGACCTTCCATTCTCACTGATATAAAATCATCTGATTTCTGTTTTCTAGGTTGTGGCGGACATGAGGGAGAAGAGGTACGCTCAGCAAGGGATCGGAAGCAGCTATTTGTTCCGTGTCGACCAGGACACCATCATAGACGCCACCAAATGTGGAAACTTGGCCAGATTTATAAACCACTGCTGCTCGGTAAGAGTACTGGGGGGGGAAACAGAACTTAAAGAACCTTGTATATCAGGAATGCCCTCCATATCCTATATCGGGAATGCCCTCCATATCCTATATCGGGAATGCCCTCCATATCCTGTATCGGGAATGCCCTCCATATCCTGTATCGGGAATGCCCTCCATATCATGTATCGGGAATGCCCTCCATATCATGTATCGGGAATGCCCTCCATATCATGTATCGGGAATGCCCTCCAGATCGTATATCGGGAATGCCCTCCATATCCTATATCGGGAATGCCCTCCTTACCATATATCGGGAATGCCCTCCAGATCGTATATCGGGAATGCCCTCCAGATCGTATATCGGGAATGCCCTCCAGATCGTATATCGGGAATGCCCTCCATATCCTATATCGGGAATGCCCTCCATATCCTATATCGGGAATGCCCTCCTTACCATATATCGGGAATGCCCTCCAGATCCTATATCGGGAATGCCCTCCAGATCGTATATCGGGAATGCCCTCCAGATCGTATATCGGGAATGCCCTCCAGATCGTATATCGGGAATGCCCTCCATATCCTGTATCGGGAATGCCCTCCATATCCTGTATCGGGAATGCCCTCCATATCCTGTATCGGGAATGCCCTCCATATCCTGTATCGGGAATGCCCTCCATATCCTGTATCGGGAATGCCCTCCATATCCTGTATCGGGAATGCCCTCCATATCCTGTATCGGGAATGCCCTCCATATCCTGTATCGGGAATGCCCTCCATATCATGTATCGGGAATGCCCTCCATATCATGTATCGGGAATGCCCTCCATATCATGTATCGGGAATGCCCTCCATATCATGTATCGGGAATGCCCTCCATATCATGTATCGGGAATGCCCTCACGTATCCTGTATCGGGAATGCCCTCCACATCATATACCGGGAATGCCCTCCACACCATATGTTGGGAATGCCCTCCATATCCTGTATCGGGAATGCCCTCCATATCATATATCGGGAATGCCCTCCGTATCCTGTATCGGGAATGCCCTCCACATCATATATCAGGAATGCCCTCTTTGAACCACCACATTGTAATTGTATATGGATACGTTAGAGGTTTTGTATAGCCAAAGCTGTTTACGTTGTAAGTGTGAAAGGATTGGAACCCCTAGAAAGACTTTATTGCTGTCTGTGTCCCCGCTGGGCAGAATCACCCTCTTTATGTCCTGTGACCGTTGTCAGCAAGGCAGAACATATCAGAAAGTCCAGCATTTTACAGCGACCACAAGAGTTAAGGTTTATTTTTTATTTATTTCAGATACTTGTATAGCGACGTCAGTTTACACAGCACTTTACGTGTGTGTGTATATATATGTGTGTATGCATGTGTGTGTATATATAATATATATAAATAAAAATGTGTATGTATGTGTGTACATATATATGTTACATATATATTGTACATTCACATCAGTCCCTAACCCTCAAGGAGCGTACAGTCTAAGGTCCCTAACTCACATTCATACATACACATACTAGGGACAATTTAGACAGGAGCCATTTAACCTCTCAGCATGTCTTTGGAGTGTGGGAGGAAACCAGAGTACCCGGAGGAAACCCACGCAGGCACAGGGAGAACGTGCAAACTCCAGAGCGGTGGTGCTGTGGTTGGGATTCGAACCAACGACCCGAGTACTGCCAGGGGGAAGTGCTTAACATTTAGCCACTGTACTATAGGCCCAAAATTCTCTCTCACCTCCTGTTGCACCCCTGGGACAGGAAGTGAAAGGAGTTCCTCCCCAACAGCTGCAAAAATAAACTGAAACTTTTTTTTTTTTTTTTTTTATGTTACTCCGTCCAAAATGTTAGCAAAAAATGTTGGCTTTACATTCACTTGTTGCTTACGCAATGCTTTCTGTATCCATCACTGCACTCTTAGCTATATTAAAGTGAAACCGGTGGCAGATGTACAGTCTGCAGATGGGGTTTGAAGTCTGAAGATCCTCCAAGTAAATGTGCCAACGTGACTATTAAAAAAAATCTCATTAAAGTAGAACTAAAGACAAAACTTTTTTTTTTGATTTTGTAATGGAAGTGAACTGCTGTTAGATTTTTTTTTTTTTTTTTTTTTTTGCCATCTGTGTCCCATTGGAGAGATTTCCATTCACTTCCTGTCCCATAGCCAAAGCAGGAATTGAGAGGAAATTCTTGCATATTAAGGGAACCCATAGCCCCCCAGGTCACCAGAACTAGTGTCCCCATTGGAAGATTATTACTTTTCTGTGGACAACCCAAAATTTGGGGTATAATTAACTTTTACTTTCAATAATAATGGTAAACAGGACAAATAGAGACGGTGAATCTCCATAATGGGGGCACAGACCGCAATACAAACCTGACAGATTCTTAAAGGGGAGTTCCACCCAAAAGGGGAGTTCCGCGTTAAAGATTGGTCTCCCACTCCCCATTAAGGATTGGCACCTTTGGGGGGACGGGTACCCAAATTTGACAGGTACCCGCTCCGACTTCCGCCGCGATTGCCTAGGCAATCGGGATCACAAGTTGTCCTCCTACCCTCCCTCCCCGTAGTCTTGTGGGACATGTGACAGGTCCCAGAAGACAACGGGGCCATTCAGGAAGCACAGCGCTACTTGTCCATGCACAGTGGGCACCCGGCTGTGAAGCCTCAAGCTGTCACAGCCGGGTGCCCACACTGAAGATGCTGGCGGCTGGTGAAACGGGCTGCGGCGGCGGGGACCGAGGGACAGGTAAGTGGCTGTTTTTTAAAAGTCAGCAGCTACAGTTTTTGTAGCTGCTGACTTTTATTTTTTTACAGAGTGAGTGGAACTCCGCTTTAACCCCTCTCCGCTCCATCCAAAACTAGAAAAAAGACTTTGCCTTTAGGTATACTTTAAGGTCCAATTCACGCTTTTGAATGGGGTGGTTTCCAGTTACATGACAGAGACCCAGTAGGGGTAACCGGTTATTAGCTTTGGGTGGCATCTGTGATGAAAGCAATGGGAGGCTGTAATGCAGGTATGCAGGTAATTGCAGCTGCTAGCAAGTAATCTCTTATGGATTACCTGTGAATGATCGGTCCTGGTCACAGACTGCGGCTGCAATTAGCTGCAGGAGCTGTCAGCCTCCCATTGCTGTCAGTGAGGCTGCTGCCCGCAGCTAATAGTTGGGAGCCCCAGCTTTGTCTACCATATGTAATTGGTAACTGTCCCGATTTTCTGGTGTGAATGGGGCCTTAAACTGACCAACAGGTTGAATGGAAAAAAAATGAACAGATTCCCTCATCCACATATTCAAGGTGGATGTGGGAATCCTCCCCGCTGTCAGAATACACAGATCAATGCTGCAGCCACTGATCAGGCAGCTTTTTTCCTAGCGGGTGCTTGAACAGAAGTTGGCCACACATGGATTGTAATTTGGCTGGCTCGGCAGGGAATGGCCGAATTTCGGTCCATCTATGGCCACCTAAGACTTCTTCTGTTTGCAGACAGTGCGCACAGCTGGGCTTTTGCCGAACAATCTTTGTTGCATTTAATTTTGTGCTCTTAGGAAAGATTAATAATTTCGCCTTGCTTACTCAGAAGTGAGTGGTCCCCTGTGATCTGTTCACGGCCTATCACAGGGATCAGCATGCCATGCCATGCACTAACTGTCATTTTCAGTGACACCAGAAAGATCATCATGTGAAGGCTTGTACTGTCCCAGCGGATCCCAGAGGATCTTCTGTTCTTTGCTCCCTACATATACATCCCTGCTGTAGGCTCTATTGACCGCTCACTAGGCTGGTAATTACAAAGCCCGAGCTTCTTCTCTACACCCAAGAGTTGTGTTTCCTTGTCCTATTTATTATTTGTGATAACAATCTTCCCCCTTGCGTTGTTTATTTTTTTTTTTTTTTTCTTTTTCCTTTTAAATGAAAAATGAAAAAAAAAAAATAACAGTTGGTGTTAGTACGAGTTAACTTCTGCCTAAGCATTTGTTTAATGTCACGCCGCGATCATGCTTTAATAAGCACCATTGGTATAGACATTTACTGGTGTGGTTACAAACATGGTGAAGGCAAAGAGAAAGGTGGCTGCCAGATTTTTTCGAAACATCCCTGGAATCTTCCCCCTCTTGCGTTGTTTATTCAACGTGACATGGTCCTGTTTACTATAGACTTCATGGATTCCGTACAAGTGGAGGCCTCGGATTTGTAATAATTCAAGGCCTGGCATTTACTGGAATAAACTCAACCCTGTGGTTAGATGTATTGGTACTGGTTCTCACTTACTGTTGACAGAGCTCTGAACATAGACTTTATGGGCCAACATTTGTGGGCACCTGACCATCACACCTATATGAGCTTGTTAGACATTCCATTCCAGTACCATGGCCATTGTTATGAAATCCCCACCCTCCCACCTTTGTCCGGAAAGACTACACAAGATTTTAAAGGGTGTCTGTGGGAATTTGTGCCCATTTGTGAGGTCAGGTACTGATGTTGGATGCACTGCAAAACAAGGAAAAAGGTGTACCAGCCTAGTCCGTAGGTCCGGAGAGGTAACTTTATTGTCAAGGAAAAAATTCCAACTATGTGGTAATAGTGTGGGGAAGGCCTTTTCCGCTCCAGCATGACTGTGCTCCTGTGCACAAAGCCAGATTAATGAGGACGTGGTTTGACCAGTTTAGTGTGGAGGATCTCAACCTTACTGAACACCTTTGGGGTGAACTGGATGTCAGTTGCAATCCAGGCCTTCTCATCCAACATCCGTAACCAAAGAACAAGAAGAACATCTCCTGTGCTCAAGAGAGGTAAGATGATGGGAATATTTCTGGTCTAGAAAAACATCTAGCATCAGCACAGGCCTTGCTGCCCTCTAAGGATCGGGGGAAACCCAAAGGCCTCTCTGCAAAACAAGGAAAGAGGGAGCACCAGCCTAGTGCATTACCTGAGGGGTAAGTACAAAGGAGATATATATTCACAAAAACCACTATAGTGACAAAGGCATATCGATATCCAAAGCAATTGCGTCACCAGGTCAGCTCCCAAAGGACGAGAAGACCCTCAAATGGATACAGACTGCTTGTGTAACAGTTGAGACCGCCTCTGATGAAGAGAAGATCACCCCTTGAAACGCGTCAGCCATTTGTGGGTCTTCTCGTCCTTTGGGAGCTGACATGGTGACATGATTGCTTTGGATACTGATATGCCTTTGTCACTACAATTGTTTGTGAAAATATATCTCCTTTGAACTTACCTCTCAGGTAATGCACTAGGCTGGTGTGCCCTCTTTCCTTGTTTTGCAGTGAGTCCTTTGGGTTTCCCCCGACCCTGAGAGGGCAGCAAGGCCTGTGCTGATGCTAGATGTTTTTCTTGACCAGAAATATTCCCATCATCTTACCACTCTTGAGCAGAGAAGACGTTCTTTTTGTTCTTTGAATACTGATGTTGGATGAGAAGGCCTGGATTGCAATTGACATCCAGTTCACCCCAAAGATGTTCAGTAAGGTTGAGGTCCTCCACACCAAACTGGACAATCCATGTCCTTATGAATCTGGCTTTGTGCACAGGAGCACAGTCATGCTGGAACAGAAAAGGCCTTCCCCACACTATTACCACATTGGAATTTGACAATTGTATAAAACATCTTTTTGCATTCTGTAGCTTTAACAGTACACTTAACTGGAAACACCTGAACTTAATCTAGAGCAAGGGTCACCAAACTTTCTAAACAAAGGTCCAGTTTATTGTCCTTTGGAGTTTAGACTACAGGAGAGCTCAACTGTGACCAGTGGGATTAGACAGTCCCTGGGGCTTGGTGGGCAATGAAAGTGAAAAAACTACATAGTGCCTGTGGTCCATAGGAGTAGTGTCCCATCATTGGCGTCAGTGAAAAGAATATTGCCCCATCATTGGCGTCAGTGAAAAGAATATTGCCCCATCATTGGTGTCAGTGAAAAGAATATTGCCCCATCATTGGTGCCAGTGGAAGGATTGCTCCATATTGGTGTCAGTGGAAGGAATATTGCTCCATCATTGGTGTCAATGGAAGAAATATGCCCGCTTATTTGGTGTTAGTGGAAGGAATATTGCCGCTTATTTGCTATTAGTGGAAGGGAAAGGCCCCCATCGTTGGTGTCAGTGAGAGGAAATTTTCTCCACTGTTGGGTGTCAATAGAAAGAATGGTGCCTCGTTGTCAATCTAAGGAATAATGCCTCGTACCAATGACCATAGTGGTGCCCCAAGGGCCGGATAAAGGCAGGCAAAGGGCTGCATGTGGCCCAAGCCCTGTGTTTGGAGACCACTGATCTAGAGCCCTGGTGCTCAACCTGTAGCCCTTTGATATGTGATGTGTGGTCCCCAGACCTCAGCAGGCTGTAGTGGGGACATTGATTATATGTGGGAGTACAGCAGTGGGCTTTAACACCATGCTGCCACATTTGTGTGTCCAGTCTGTGCTGGGAATATACACATTCGGGATTCACAACACGATCTCTGCCAGCTCTTGGTCATTGTTTAGCAGCCTATGGGATGCTTCTGATTGTATGATACACTGGAACTGCCAATCACAGGGCTCACATGATCGGGAATTCACCTACCAGCCTTCTGCATAAAAGATTCTGAAAGGGCTGATGGTAAGGGGTGAAATCACATGCAACTGGAAGATTCACTTGCAATGGAAGTTTGGCGAATGTCAAATTTGCTGCGTTTTAAATATGCTCCTATATACAGGCATACCTCGGTTTACGAATTTAATGCGTTCTCCGGGACGTTTCGTATTGCAAAAAATTTGTAAACCGAAATGCGGTTTCCCATAGGAATGCATTGAAAACCAATTAATCCATTTTGGAGGTCAGAAAAAAGTAAAAAAAAAAAAAAATAGTCTTTTATCTGTTCAAAACGCTTTATAAAGTGCGCTTTAAAGGCATAAAAACTGTACAGGGACTTGATAAAAAAAAATAATTTGTAAATGCATCAAAAACCAATTAATCCGTTTCCAGAGGTCAGAAAAAAGTATTATCTGTTCAAAACTCTTTAGAAAGTGCACTTTTTAAAGGCATAAATACTGTACAGGGACATGATTAAAATACATTTGTAAATGCATCGAAAACCAATTAATCCGTTTCTGGAGGTCAGAAAAAAGTCAAAAAAAGTTTTCTGTTCAAAACTCTTTATAAATTGCACTTTAAAGGCATAAATACTGTACAGGGACATGATTAATTGGTTTTTGATGCATTTACAATTTTTTTTTTTTTAATCATGTCCCTGTACAGTATTTATGCCTTTAAAGTGCAATTTATAAAGTTTTTGAACAGAATCCGTTTCTGGAGGTCAGAAAAAAGTCAAAAAAAGTTTTCTGTTCAAAACTCTTTATAAATTGCACTTTAAAGGCATAAATACTGTACAGGGACATGATTCAAAAAAAAAAAAAAAAAATTGTAAATGCATCGAAAAACCAATTAATCCGTTTCTGTAGGTCAGAAAAAAGTCAAAAAAAGTTTTAATTGGTTTTCGATGCATTTACAAATTTTTTTTTTTAATCTGTTCTGGAGGTCAGAAAAAAGTAAAAAAAAGTCTTATCTGTTCAAAACTCTTTATAAAGTGCACTTTAAAGGCACGGGGCTGGTGCTAAAAACCTCCCAGGCGCACAGCATCGTGGGGAAATTTACTTCCTATTGCGAAAAAAAAAATTAGTAAACCGAGGCATTCTTTTCAATGGATTTTCATTCGTGGACTGAACGTTCCGTTAACCGAGGCGCTCGTAATCCGAGGTACGCCTGTATTGCGTTCTTGTTCACCTGCTTTTTTTTTTTTTTCATTCATTTATTTCTTTCTTGAACATTGTAAGATTTTACTTTTGCATTGTTTTTCTTTTATATTGAAACCCGTTTCTTTCTCTCTCTCCTAGCCTAATTGTTACGCCAAAGTTATCACCATCGAGTCCCAAAAGAAAATCGTCATCTACTCAAAGCAAGCGATCAGCGTCAATGAGGAGATCACCTACGACTACAAATTCCCCATCGAAGAAAACAAAATTCCCTGTTTATGTGGGACTGAAAACTGCCGGGGGACTTTGAACTAACTGCGAGCCCAGTTGCAGGTTCTGGTCGCGGGCTCCACATAACTGTTTACTGTGGCCAAAATCAAAAACTCCGGAGGTCATAATAGGCCCAAGGCTTGTTTCTGACACCCTTTTAGAAGCAATCAGGCCTGTTAACTTTTTTTTTTTTTTTTTTTTATTCCCAGTATGAAATCAACTTGGCATTTGGTCGGTGCCCATTGCAGCGCCTAGTATTTTTGTGGGTATTTAGGATTCTTTTTTTTCTTCTCTGGACCTGAAGAATCAAGCAGCCTGGCCTATGTATGGCACTTTATGATGGCGTTGAGACGCCTATACCTTACAACGTTGACCAGATCTGTACTGTGACGGTCGTTCCACTTCATTCGTTCAATCCCATGGGGAATACTTATCTGTATATAAATATATGTTAATTTTTTTTTTTTATTTGCTAGCCATTTTAATTGGCCTATTTTTCTATATAATTCAGTTATCTGTTCTTTTATTCCTTTCTGGGAGTATGTTATTTATACAGGGCAGCAGCCAAGAGATGTGGACCCTCCCGTCTTTTTTTTTTTTTTTTTTTTTAATTTTTAATTTTTTTTTTTTTCAGGCTTTCTTATGCTGAAAGTCCTAGACTTTCTTAGAACCCCAAACTTAGGTTGTGAACCCCCTCAGTATCAAGATCCATCATGGTGTGACCTTTGTACCTTCACTTAGTTCTCTATGGCCACAACAAAGACTGTGTAACGCACAAACCTTCTCCTTGTATGGTCTGAGACGGGAATGCCCTATGGTTTATAAACCGCTTCCTCGTGGGTGGAGCTCAACAAAGACCGATCCTGCGGGTGTCCCCCCATTTTTTTTTTTTTTTTTTTTTTGGTCTTTGTATTGATGTGGCCCCCTCAACTCCTGTAAATATGTGCACACTACGCTTTGTTTATATGTATATATGGCCGATGGCGGACTCTACAGTTACCCCAGGGACGGGTCATAGAGGAGGACATGGCTGCGACAGACTGTCAGCCTCCACGCGGTATTAACACCCCTCCACCCTTTTATAGATTCCATTCAGTTGATGCCAATATTGAATATCTAATCTTTATTGCTCCCATTTGCCTGAGATACTGTCCCCTGTATGTTTTATTACTCACACCTCAAACGATGATGGCCTCCCAACGTCTGTGTTACCTGTTTTCCGCAATCCATAGTAGACACGCAGCTGTCATTCTCTTTTCTTTTATTGGGTTTATATAGCAATATTTGGGTTTTTAGCCCTAACTTATTTGAATTCTTTTTAATGGTAAACATTTTACCTGTAAGGACTTCAGGCACCACCATCAATCCTGCGATCAGCACTTTTCATTTTACTCCAGCGCTTCTCTCTGTTGGTTCCTCTACCTGAGAAACGGGCGAGATTCGCTTTTTATTCAGATTTTTTTTTTTTTTTTTTTTATGGCATGTTACATATGTTCTTAGCAAACGTCATCAATGTTCATTATTGGTGACTCCAGGTCTAATTTTTTTTTTTTTTTTTTTTTGTTCCTTTAGCTTTTGGCTCTGTCACCAAATGACTTTTATTTTTGGTGGAGACGGAGTTGTCTTCAGCTTAGCTTTGTACGCAGGGTGGGAGGAGGGTGCGTTACGGCAGGCAGTCAGGTCTCCAAGGGAAGGGGGGTGTCAGGCCTGAAAAAAAAAAAAAAGTTGTATATTCTGTATATTAACTGCTTTGTTTCTTGTAGAAACACGAGTTTATTACGTATACAACATTCTGTGTCTTTTGTGTTTTTGATTTCTGCTCAGTCAGTAGAAGGGGGAGGGGCAAATGGTGAAAAAAAACCTGAAAATTGTTGCGTTGCTTTTCAATACCAGTGTGCCGCTTGGGTTATAATAACGGGAAAGTGTTAGAAAAAAAAAAAAATCCGTACATTTCTGCCGAACATGCACATTTCCTCATGATTTAGGCTAGGTTCACATCTGTGCGGGTGGTGCAGCTGCAGATTCGCATGAAAATCCGTGCAAGCGCACCACCCCCACAGAGAAATGTGGACCCATTAGTTCTAATGGCACGCCACCCGTACTGGAAATCGCAACAGTACTGGGAACCTCGGCTGTGGTTTCAGAAGTGCATGGACTTCTTCCCTGCGTGTCACGGGGCACGGGAGTCCATTCAAATGAATGGACACTCGTGCCCGCACAAAACACGGCCCGCATGGCTGCATAGATGTGAACCCCCCCCCCGGTTAACATCTATGCAGCCATGCGGGCCGTGTTTTGCGTGGGCATGAGTGCCCATTCATTTGAATGGACTCCCGTGCCATGCAGGGAAGAGGCCCTTTTCAGACTGGCGTTGCGATTAAATCCAACTGTCAGTTTTTCAGGTAGAGCTGATGGAAAGGTCCATTAAGGTACACCATTTTCTTCCAAGGTCCAATTTCTGTCCAATTTCTGGCCATATTTCTGTCCATTTCTGTATTTCTGTCCAATTTCTGTCCAATTTTCTGTCCAATTTCTGTCCAATTTCTGCCCAATTTTCCTTTAGATTTACCTTCAACTATGTAGTGCGAGAGCCGGCCTAATTGGATACAATTGAAAGTGTTGTTAGGTTTGACCTCCTATTATATGGTTTTTGGTAAATCTAAACCAAAAATTTCAAGAAAATTGTATAATGTATGGCCAGCCTTATCCCTAGGGCCAGGAGGGTGAAGCCGGACTTGCCACTTACACCTGCCTACCTCTGGGTCCGATTAGGCCCGCTAAAAAAAAAAAAAAAAGTGAGGGGACTCTGTCCTTTTCCGTTTTAGGCAACCTGTGGCTCTCTAGCTGTTGTGGAACTACATTTCCCATGAGGCATTGCAACATTAGAAACCTGCAGTTACAGCTGTGACTTGCAGAGGCATGATGGAACTTGCAGTCCTGCGGCTCTCAGGTTGCCTACCCCTGGTTTAGGTGGAGCGGATTGGAGATAGGTAGCCAGGTGGAAATGGACAGTTGGGTCTGGCTGCCCATAGAGCAGAGCGGGCTCTGCAGATACTGAGCGGACATGGGTGTGTCGTCCCAAACCAGCGAAAAAAAAAATTTCCAGCACACTTACCAGCTATCATGCAGCAAAAACAAATCGACCTTTTCTAACAATTTATGTTAAGCGCGCAGTTTTTATTTTGCACACCTTTGTGGAAGCCGCAGTGCCCACCTCAAGGCTCCTCTGCATACTGCGGTCCTAACGCTGCAGTTTTGAGTCTCCCGTTGGAGCACATACAGCAGTGAATGGGTCGGAAAGGGCAGGTATGCTTGGAGGGAGCCCACTCCTCCTGAAAGGTTCAGGGACACATTGACTGCCCAGCAAGATCACACAGGCAATTGGAGGCATCCAGTGCACCTCTGTCATTGGGGAGGTCGTCATCCGCTCACTCTGCTCCGATCAGCTCATAGAACGGAATCCGCTTCGTGTGAAAGGGGCCTAATCCTGTACAAAGCTGCAAGTACAGAAAAATATCGATCTGCGAGAAATTCATTCCTAACTCCCGTTATGAGCTGACAACACAGTGCTTTTTTTTTTTATATTAAACATATATATATAAACAAATTAAAAGAGGAACACAGGAGAAAGAGAGATCCCATCGATGGTGAAATCTGTATGGTTACAAACATAATGCCACATAGCTACAGTGGTGAGGCCATCAGAACAGTGCAGTTGGAGAAAGGTGGGAGGAGGTGAAATGATCCCATGGGTGCCACACTGCCTTGAACAGGTGAAGTGATCCCATGGGTGCCACACTGCCTTGAACAGGTGAAATGATCCCATGGGTGCCACACTGCCTCGAACAGGTGAAGTGATCCCATGGGTGCCACACTGCCTCGATCCCAGGTGCCAACTGCCTGCAGGTGAACCCATGGGTGCCACACTGCCTCGAGCAGGTGAAATGATCCCATGGGTGCCACACTGCCTCGAGCAGGTGAACTTGATCCCGTGGGTGCCACACTGCCTCGAGCAGGTGAAATGAGGTGAACTTGTCCCGTGGGTGCCACACTGCCTCGAGCAGGTGAACTTGTCCCGTGGGTGCCACACTGCCTCGAGCAGGTGAAATGGTCCCGTGGGTGCCACACTGCCTCGAGCAGGTGAACTTGTCCCACATGGTCCCGTGGGTGCCACACTGCCTCGAGCAGGTGAAATGGTCCCGTGGGTGAGTGCCACACTGCCTCGAACAGGTGATCCCTCACACTGCCTCGAACAGGTGAAATGATCCCGTGGGTGCCACACTGCCTCGAACAGGTGAACAGGTGAACTGGCCCCTTGTCCCGTGGGTGCCACACTGCCTCGAACAGGTGAACTCAAGGCAGGTGAACTTTGTGCCACCGTGGGTGTGCCACACTGCCTCGAGCAGGTGAATTGATCCCATGGGTGCCACACTGCCCTCGAACAGGTGAAATGCCTGCCGACACGAGCAGGTGAAATGATCCCGTGGGTGCCACACTGCCTCGAGCAGGTGAACTTGGTCCCGTGGGTGCCACACTGCCTCGAAGCAGGTGAAATTGTCCCGTGGGTGCCACACACTGCCTCGAGCAGGTGAACTGGTCCCGTGGGTGCACACTGCCTCGAACAGGTTGATCCCGTGGGTGCCACACTGCCTCGAATGTCCCAGGTGAAATGAAATGTCCCATGGGTGCCACACTGCCTCGAACAGGTGAAATGTCCCGTGGTCCCAGGTGAACTTGTCCCGTGGGTGCCACACTGCCTCGAGCACAGGTCGAACAGGTGATCCCGTGGGTGCCACACTGCCTCGAACAGGTGAACTTGTCCCGTGGGTGCCACACTGCCTCGAGGCAGGTGAATTGATCCCACTGCCTCGAGGGAACTTGTCCCGTGGGTGCCACACTGCCTCGAACAGGTGAAATGGTCCCGTGGGTGCCACACTGCCCCTGTGGGTGCACACACTGCCTCAAGGCAGGTGAATTGATCCCATGGGTGCCCACACTGCCTCGAACAGGTGAAATGGTCCCGTGGGTGCCACACTGCCTCGAGG